CTCTACCCAAGGTGAGAGTGAGACTGTCTCCAAAAAAAAAGATTACTGGAGACAGAGGGGGCTACATATCCAACAGCTTTTATCATGAGCAAAATCAACTTAATCCCAAAGTCCAGTATTATAATTAATTTTATGTCCACCTCAGTCTCCACACATACAGAATGAGAAGGGTGTGCTAAAGAGAAGTATCATGGTGGCCTCTACCTACCTCCTTTTTAGAATCTTTACTGTAGTAAACTACCATAGTAGAAGTATCTTATCTCTTAAAGGTAATGAGATATAAACAAGCTACTTGAGGTAGAGAAACTCTCAAGCCTCTTCTAGAAGATTCTACATTATGTAAGAGAATCACAGTATCAGTGGATTTAGCATATTTTGAAAATATAATTACAGTATCAGTGGGTTTAGTATATTTTTAACTGAAACAGTGGAGTTGGATATTTTTCATTATTTTTATATTTTAATTTACCATGCACTTTAAAGCTATAGAGTACCATGAGAAGATGTATGTTTTAGTATTAAAATCGGACTTAAAACTGAGTGAATGTTCTACAGGTTCCTATCTACAATTCCAAAACCCAGAAGTTCTGAAACCCAAAATAACTCATTGTTGGTATTAAAACCTTACCTGAACTGATATGAAGCTGTTTATACTCTTTATTCTGTTCAATGTAAATGTTCACACATTTTGCTGCAGAAACAGTAATGTTTGAAGAGGGGTATGGCATGGGATTCTGTTAGAAGGTTATATAACATTATTACTTTGCCTATATCCTAAATATTCTTAATTTCAAAGCCTATTACCCCAAGGATTTTGAATAGTGGACTGTGATCCTATAATAATTGCTAACATGTATTGAGCACTGTTCTAATTAATTTACATGTACTAATTCATTCAATCCTCCCAACCACCATAAGGTAGGCATTACAATAATCCCCATTTTATAAAGGAGGAAACTGAGGCACAGAGGGATTAAGTAAATTGCCTAAAGTCACATAGCTAGATAGTGACTAACTTGAATGAACACAATATTTTAAAATATTACACATAAGGCCAGGCATGGTGGCTCATGCCTGTAATCCTAGCACTCTGGGAGGCCAACGCAGGAGGATCGCCTGAGACCAGGAGTTTGAGACCAGCATAAGAGCTAAACCAGAGCAAGACCCGATCTCTATAAAAAAATAGAAAAATTAGCTGGGCGTGGTAGCGCGCATGCCTGTAATCCCAGCTACTCAGAAGGCTGAGGCAGGAGAACTGCTTGAGCCCAGGCATTTGGGGGTAGAGTGAGATATGATGACACCACTGCACTATGGCGGGCAACAGAGCTAGACTCACGTAAGATGAATAAAACACAACAGAGAGCTGATTATGATTATGGTAGGAGCCACTGATATTTTCCTCTAAATTAACACATTACGTCTAAAATGGCAAGGAATCAAACTTAAAAAAAAATACAACACACTTGATGCATTTACAAATTTTCCTTTATGCGCAATTCCCAAATCAACTTGCGTAAAATGCATAGTATAAAATCCAAATTTCTCAGCTTATGCTAATATCTACAATTTTTATTAAAAAATAACATCTTAATCTTTTTAATTACAATACACAATTCATAGTCAGTGTAGAAATTAGAAAATCTGGATAAGCAAAAAGAAAATAATCACCTATAAAACTCCACTCAGAATAACCACTTAACAATTTGCCACATACCTTTCCAGATATGAATACATTTTTTTGTTTTTTTACTGGAATGGAATCATGGGTTTTTTGTTTGCTTTTTAATTTATTTTCCTTCCTATCCCTCCTTTCCTCCCTGAAGAATCATGTTTTTAAATCTACTCTTTTCACTTACACACACCAAGAAATCTCTTCATGTCTTTACATTCTTCTGATGACATTATTCCAATGGCTTGGTAGTAACACAGTGTAGGGATGTGCTATAGCAATCACTGTGAAACATTTAGGTTATTTACAATTTTCCAGCATAGTGATCAAGGGTACTACTGGCTTTGGAGCCACACTGGTTGGATTCAAGTCCTAGCTTTACCACTAACTCAGCTACCTTGGGGAAGCAACCTCTTTTCTCTATGCCTGTTTTCTCTTCCAAAAAATGGAAATTAATACTACCCACTTCATATGATTACTGTAGAGGTTAAATACACACCTTTTATTATCGACAATGCTGTAATTAGTATGCTCACAGCTAAATCTTCACACACATCTTTATTACATCTAGATAATTTCCTTTAAACGAGAATTTCCGTATCAGAAGGTATACCTATTTTTAATGCTTCTGAGTCTGCAGAAGTACAGCTTGGTTCAAAGCCCTTCATCAAACAGCCTCCCTTAATATTTATTTCTCTTTATCCAAGAATGTGAAAACTATGATCCACATAAGCTAAAACAGCTTGTTTCACTCAATTAGCTTTGCTCTTCCACCATGTGCCTACAAACCTAAACATATTTCATAAAATCTCAGTTTACTGGGAACTTGAAGACACCTAGCCCAAATCCTTCCTTGAGCACATAAATTGCTCTACTCTAGAATCCCCAATGTGGACACCATCAGTGAACAGAGACAGACTACCACCCAGTACAACCCATTCCATTTTTACAGTTTTGAGGAAATTTCTCTTGAAAGATAGTTGAAAGCTGCATCTAACTTCTGCCCACAGAGCCTAATTCTTTCTGGTCAAATCAAACCTGATCCGTCTGTGTGACAGATGTCCAAATATTTAAAGGTGGACACAATTTCTTAGAGAGGTTTCTCTTCTTTAGGTCAGACATCCCATTTTTTCAACATCCCCTCATTTCCATTTCCCTCATGATCATGGTCCTCCATATATGCTCTACAGTATAGTGACTTTGAAAATTTGGGTGTCTATCACCTTGGGAACTTGAGAAAAATAGAGGCTCAGGTCCTACTTAAGCTTTGGCGTGCGTGCATGCGTATGTGTGTTTAATTTGATCTCCAGGTGGTTTTCATACAAAGTCTGAGAATGGATACAAGGTCTCCTGCTACCTAAAAAGCTGACATGATATCCCAAGTATATTACAACCAGTACAAAGTGGTGCTAACAACACTTGCTCTTTCTATACACTGTTCTACCAACTTAAATTTACTGTTTTAAAAAAATTACACAATAGTATTGATTCATATTAAATGTACAGTTATTACGTCTTTTCCACATTCTCTAATTGTGCATTAGGATTTGAGGCCCTAACTGCCAGTCTTTACAAGTATTCTCATTAAAAGGTAAGAGAACTAGGGCTAAGAGCTTTAAGATTTCTACTTCCAAATATGTCAATGGCCCTGCATATGGATTTATCTTTAGTGGAGAAATCACTTCAAGGTTAAGCCTTTACACTTAATACATGGACATACTCAATCCAAATAAAGGTACATTAGACAACTGAACTGACAGCTGATCACACCAAAGCATCTTCTCTGTGCAGAGCAGTGCTGTCAACACTATGAAGAAACACACAGTTCCTAATACTAATCTCACCTAGTACTAGATATACCTTCTAGAGAGCATGATGGAGCAAATATCTTCAGAAAACCTAAATATAATACCAAATTATAGCTGTCCCAAAGTAGACACATTAGTGCTTTAGAAACGTTATGATTACTACTTGGAAAGACTTGGGGCCAAAGAAATGATATTCATTAGAAAACTAAGTTGCCCTGAACATCAACACTTTGGGATTCTTTTTTAATGTTTGCAAAGTGGAGGCCATTGGTGAGTTCATTCAAACTCAGGTTACTTTCAAAGGGAAACTGGATAAAGGCCTCATGCTTTCTCAAAAATAAACGCATGATTCAAAATTTCATGTAACGATTCTGAATTCCTCATGACGTGTGCTTTACCTATTACTATTTCTAACTTACAAAGTACTTAAGCGGAAAAAAAATCCATTCTACAAGAGTTGTGGCCCATTATAAAGAACTTTAAAAATGCTAGGGGGGCAAAACAAACTAAAATTAACCAAGATCCAGTCTATTTTCATTTGAATAGCAAACATTAAAAATACACCTGGCTTTTTCTAACAATTGCATGAACAACGACCAGATGCTTCCTGTTGATGGAACAGTAGAGAACTACAGACTGACAGATACAGACTAGAGTTCACAGAAACAACTGGAAACAAATTTAGCTTCCTTTCCAAACCATTAAACTAAAGCGAGTATGGCATTAAATTTTTACACATTACAGTATAATTGTCCCCCAACCTAGTAAACCCAGATTGATTCAAAGAGACAGAGGACTCTAAGGATATATATATGCAAACTATTCTTTGTTTCACCAAAAGTTTCACTGTAGGATTCCTTTTAAATCTGGAGCTCCTATAGTGTTCTCAAAGTGTTCTAGCTTCAAAAATAACATTTACACATAAATTTTCACAAGCATGTGGAATTTACATTTTACTTGTGTACACCATTAAAAATATGTACCTTCACAACACTCTGGATTCCTAGGGGAAAACAATTAAATAAATAAAAATATGTACTGAAATTAAAAATTGAGTTTACTCACTTAGAATATTTCCAAATGTTCCTGAGTCTCCAGGATCATATGCAGATTATGCAATCCTTATCTGTGATATTGTTTACACACTTAAATCTCAATTTTTAAAAAAGTAAGCCCACGAAAAAAAGAACAGGAATCAATCTTATCCATATTCTTAAAATGTGTCTTGCATAATATCCTGATTTGACTTGTATGGTGAAAGCAGGAAAAGAATAACACGTTTCTGTTTAAAACAAAACTGTGAGTCTACTGCGGAGTTTTCCAGAGGTCACAAGGTGTGATAACCACAACAGACTGAATGCAGAAGTAGACTTAAGAATCTAGCTGTCTTCTATTACACCAGACATTAAAAAGATTTGCAAAAATGCAAGACAATGTCACTCCTAACATGTCGTTTGTGTTAACATAGGCTTTTGTTTTGGAAAAATACTTAAAAAGAGAGAAAAATTAAGAAAATGAGATACCGTCGTCTTTAGTTTCCTTAAACTCAAAATCTGAGCCTGAAAATGGAAGCGCCAAAGCTGATGACAGTTGCATGTCAATGAGAAAAAATTTAAACCAAGCCGGTAGGTCTTTACGTGAGATAAACTATCCGCAAAAAAGAATTTCTGACCACTAACTTCTGCATAACAAATTAAGAGTGCATCTTTGAGATGCCAAAATACTTTACAAGGATCATTTATGGACTACATGAAACTTTTTTCCAGATATAAACTGTACTTCAGAAAGTAACTTGCCTGAATGGAGACAGCAAACCAGTCTGGACAGAGAACTTAAAAGATTTCCACATTACCAAGCCCCCTTCAGAAGTACTGTAGTCTCTGCCCCTCCTTTGAACAGATGTCTGCTCGCCACAGTCCAATCAGGTTTAAAGCAAGAGTATATGTACTGAAAACAAGCTTAAAGTGGGAAAACACACAAAGCAGGCCTATATCATTCCTCTGGTTTCAGTTTTCACGATGCACCCTTGAGGATAGGCACGCTGATTCAACGCAGTTGGAGAGCTTCAACGACACGCACTAAATACACACTGATTGACTGTGCCCAGGCAGACATGACCTGGCAAAATTCTCAACTTCTTTTCCGAAGCCGTGCACCCGCGGATCTCGGCGGCGAAGTCTCTGGGGCAGAAGTCCCGAGCATTCAGAAAGGCAGGCTGCTCCCCCTCAGGACTCTAGTCCCCGCGGCTGAAGCTGTCGCGCTGGCGGCCCCGCGCGGGACGGGCTGGGCTCTCCGGTTAACCCTATCCGGGCCAGCCGCTCCAGCCGCGGCCCGAGCGCCTCCCGGGCCCGCGGACCCTGCAGCACAGTGCGCCCAGGGCCTGCCGCCCCTTCCCTGCTCTGGAGAGCCCGGCGAGGCCGTCAGGCCGCCCAGACAAAGGAGCCAGCTGCGCCCGAGGCCGAGGCCGGGCCGCGCCTGCCTCTCTCCTCCTCCCGCCCATCGCCCGCCTCCCGGCGATCACAGAGGCCCCGCCGCCCCGGTGCGACCCCATCGCCACCCAGAGCCGTGGCTCAGGCCTGGCCTGGCCGGGAGCAGCCGGGAGGCCGCCGCATGCCGGGGCCGAGGAGGGGGCGGCGGCCGCCACCATGTCTGCCCGCTCCTCCCAGAAGCGGGGTGCCCAGCGGACAAAGCACGGCGGCGGCGCGGAGCGGACGCCCAGGCCGACCCCGCCGACCCCCGCGGAATAAGCGGGGCCAGGAGCCCCGGAAACCCGGCGCCTTAATGCAATAAACAGGAAATCGCGGGGATGATCTGGGTTCCGGGGGAAGTGGAATTATTTTTTACCAGCGAAGAGATCAACTTCCACATCCGGTGGTAACAGGGCCCTACACAGACCCGCACTGACCTGGAAAAGCTTCGGGAGCGGCAACGGGGAGGCAGCAGGAGGTGGTTCGGGGACCCGAGGCGCCTCGTACCCGGCCGGGCTGACGCGGCCCCGCTACACACAAAGCGCTTCAGCTGCACAGGGCGCTATTTTCCGAAAATGCCGCGTCTGGTCGGCGCCCAAAATCCCCACCGAAAAGTCCCCCGTGCTGCGCGCGGAAGGACACATGGTGTGCGAGTGAGTCAAAGCTCCCAGCATCCCTCCTCGATCCGGCCCTCGTCAGCCTCTTGCCCCAGGATTTTCCGCCTCTGCACTCGTCGGCGGAGCCCACTTCCCCCCACTTCCCGACCCCATTCCGGCGGGAGAAAGGGGCGAGAGGGTCTGATTTTTCTTTTTAACAGAGGAATGGAAAATATGCCATTTGTAGTGCTTCAGTCACACAAAGAAAACGGCGGAATGATCCTCTCTCGGCGACCGCAAGTCCCGGCTCGCCCGGCGCCTGCGCGGTAGCGGGGGTGGGAGCTGCGGCCCGCCATGTGCGCGGCGGAGCTGCCGGGCGGCGGCAGAACCTTCCCGCCTCTTTCCGTGGTGGGTAGGCGTCCGGAAAGTAATGTTACTTTGCTAAGCTTCGTATCTCCCTGACTTGACCTTTAAAAGACAGAGACTGCGGAATCCTTGGAACTGAAGCTTGCCCACTGAGCCTCCTAAGCAGAATCCTGGGAGACGGAAGGGCAGCCAGGAGGCTAGGATTTACCTTCAAGGGGCCCTAGATTCAACCAGGCAAACTTGACGGGAGACGCTGTTGAGGTACCAACGGAGGAACGGAAGGATGTTCCTTCTCCATTTAGCATAAGCTAGGTAGGTTTATGACGGAGATGCACGTATTTCTGTAGCTTTTTTAAAAAAAAAAAAAATTCTAATGGTGCCTCATATTTCATAGACGTTAATAAATTACTCACCGAATTCCCTTGGATTTCTGTCACCTCAGGTAGAGATCAGTTTTCACTGACTGGAGTGTCAAAATTTTTGTGGTGTTGTGCTTTATGAAGAAAGTAGCAAAAGGAAGTCAATACACTGATTTGTTTTTAACAGGTGACCCTGGGAATGGCTTTCCCATCCAGCTTTCCCCAACCTACTAACCGTGCAACTTTGGCTTCCTATATCTAGGAGTTGGGGATATCTGAGACAGCGCCAAGAGTTTGATCCAGGAGAGCTGACAAGCTTAAATGAAATCCGTATTGCCCACTGATTTTGTGTGGCCTCAGATAAGTAATCGTTCTCTCTCCACTTACCTTTTGTAATAATTGATGTAGTAAAGATTTGTAGTCTTTGTGTAACTTAATAAAATGTTGTGCCTAAGATACAAAAATAAGTGGCATGGGAGCCATAGTCTTGTTTTCTTTTGATTTAATATTTCCATTGCTTCACTTGATAAAAATTTGTTGAAATTTTGATATCATGTCTATTTATAACATCATTTACTTGAACATTCAGCTGAGGATTGCTACAGAATCCTTACCTACCCCCCCCCATTGGTCTTACGCTGTAGAATGTAGAAGTAAATAGTCATCATCGGTATCATCGGTAGAATGATGAGGGTAAACAAGCGAATACTGCAGAATCTCATAAAGGAGGAACCCCTTACTAACCTAAGAGGAAGGAATGGAATGGGACTGGAGAAGAAATTAGCTTTAATAAGGGAATTAGGGAAGGCCTTCTGGAAAGAGGAAGCAATAAGTACCAAGGTTAGGAGGCAAACACCACAGAGATTGTTGGGTGAAAAGAAGACAGTCTTGTTTTAGGATACCTAGAGATGTTCCTTTAGAGGTCTAGTTATGAAGTTTTTGAATGTCATGTGCAGAAATTAGCTTCTGAGATCCAAGAGGAAACTGTTGAAAGATTTTAAGTAGAAGCATCGTAGGATTGAATTTGCATCTTAGATCACTTACACAAAAATCCAAAGCAAGGAAAACAGTCATCTGTGAGAGGTTAATGACTTGGACTGAGGTAGTGGCAAATAGGGAACAAAATGACCAATGTGCTTATTGAGAGCTTGGAGATTTTATTAACTAGATAAGGAAATGATTCCCAAGTGTGTTGGTGGAGCATTTTGGAGGGTGGTAGTGTTTTCACTGAGATTAGAAACAAGGGAAGAGAATATATATTAGGGAAGGAAGAAGGTTCTGTTTTGATAATGTAGAATTTGAAGTGCCTGTGAGCCAACCAAGCAGATATGTCTAGTCAGCAATTAGATGTTCATTCATTCAACACTTGCTGGAAGAGCACCCATGCTATGCCTGGCACTTCTCTATACACTGAAATAGATAAAGCAGCAGCAAAACAAACAGCGTTCTCGTTCCTGTTTCTAGAAGGAAACAGACTATAAACAAGTTTCAGAAACGAAGGACAATATCCCATGGTTAAGTTCATGAAGAAAATTAAAGGGTGATTGGATAAAGTATTTCTCTGAGGGAGAGGGTTGTGATAGTTGGTCAGAGATGGCATTACTGGCCATCGTACTGGGAGTCTCTGAACTAAGACCTCACGAGGAAGGAGTTAAGGGAATAGCAGAGCCAAGACCTTAAGGTAAGGAGTTTGTTGTGTTTAGGAAACAGCAAGGAGGCCAGCATGCCTGAAGTCTAGTGAGCAAAGGAAGGAATAGTAGATGAAGTCTGCAGCCTTGATAAGGTTAAGTGCACTGGAAGCCATTGAAGGGTTTTAAGGAATGGAGTTACATGGACTAGGATAGTAGCAGTAAAGATGGAGAAAGCAGATGGATCCAAAATATATTTTATGATTAGAATTACCCTCTCTTGCTTATGAATCAAATGTGAAGAGTTAGGGAAAGGGAAGAGTCAACAGGGATTCCTAGATTTTGGCTATGGTTGTGCAGGTAAAATTAATTTTAACTTCAATAATGTCTTGTATTTAACCCAGCATGTCCAAATATTATCATTTCAAATGTGATCAATATTTAAAAACTATTAAATATTTTAAAAGTGTTTTTCTTATTACTGTTTGAAATCTGGTCTGTATTTTATACTTAAATCATATCTCAATACTTGATTTCATAAAATTTCCAGTTGAAAAAGTAGATTCATGGACACAGTCATTAAAGTTAAGATTAAAAATTCAATTTCTAAATTAGCGTCATTTTACTTGCCACGTTTCAAGTGAGGCAATTGCTACCATGTTGGGCAATGCAGTCTAGGAGACTAGAGAATAGTAGAAAGTCAGGCTTAAAAAGTTGTTTGAAACCAGCTCTGGAAGGCCTTGGATGGCAGGTAAAAGTACTGGGAGCTTACCGGCCCCAGACCCTCACTAGGGGAACAATGGATGGTTTTTGAGCTAGGGAGTGACACAACATTATGCTCACAGCTAGAAAGAGGCCACTAGGTGGCCAGCTGATGACTTAGAGCCAACAGCCACCCTTCAATTGCTTTTTTTTTTTTTTTTTTTTCAGGCGTCTTGCTCTGTGGTCGGACTAGAGAGCAGTGGCTGGCGTCATCATAGCTCACTGCAACCTCAAATTCCTGGACTCAAGCATTCTTCTTGCATCA